ACACACACTCATACATTCACATACTCATATACACACACTCACACACACTCACACACATACACACTTAAAACGCACTCATACACTCACTCTTACATTCACACACTCACACATATACACACTCACACACACATATACTCACACACATGCACACACACTCTCATACACTCACATTCACACACTCACACACATACTTACACACACTCATACCCTCACACACACTCACACACATATTTACATCACACACACTTACACACATACACTTATACATATACACATACACACACACATACATACACTTACGCACACACACACACATTTACACACACACTCATAAACACACACACACACTCTCCCCTAAACTCCCACCATCGCTCTCTGCCCGGAAGGCAAAGGTCCGGTTATTTGTGGTCACTTCAAACTTCTGATCTCCAGTAGCAGCTACTCGGCAGATGCAGGCTACAGGAACAAAGCGCTTAGAGTAGGCGTCCTGGGGGAGAGAAGAGCTGCACTTCAGAGTAGGAACCCTACAGCCCCTTGCCCAGCTCCACTGAAATGATGGTTGCAAGCCCATCTTCTGCAGGTGGATCTTGTGCTGGCTCTGATCACTACCTTCACCAGCCCACAGACCAGGATTCCCATTGAGGGTCAGCTAAGGACTCTGCCTAAAGCAGTGCTGGGGTTCAGCTTAGGCCTAGGCAGGAGCAAGGGTCAAGTGAGGGACTGATGGAGCCCTCACCTTGTTACTGTCAAAGTATCGCAGGTAATCGGCATCCAGTCTCACCCATCGCTTCTGATAGATATAAGACCTGAACAGGCAGAGGCAGGGCTCAGCAAAGACTGGGAGTGAGGGGGGGGTCCCACCATTACACCCAGTCCTCATATCCTGGCACAGTTAAGATCATCCATTTACCAATGGTTACAGTGAGTGGGGAGGGAAAATTGCTCAAACAATCTTGGACCCATGACACCAGTATCCTAGAGTATGACTTGTCCCCCAGCAGATACTAGAAGGAGCTGGCAGGCCTCACTCACCCCTGTGGTGGGTTCTTGTCCAGCCAGCCAGCCTTGATGACAGGTGTGATGGGGGTGGAACCCCCAGGCATATCATCCATGGGGTGCAGTGGGAGATCGGGGATCAGGCTGCGTAAGGGTGGATTCAGACCACTGGTTGGCCACCCGCCACTAGGACAAGAGAAGGGAAGGAAGGCAGGGAGGGAGGCTGAGGGTTTGCTCGGGCTAGGACTGGGATAGAAGGGTAGGCTAGGTTGGGCTTTGGGAAGGAAGGTAGCTGAATGGGATACTCACTTGGGGATACCCTCATAGGCATGGTCATCCTCATCCTCAGCGTCATCCCCAGACAGCTCCTCCCCCTCGCTCAGCAGACTAGCCACGCGCACGGCCCGTGGGACTCCGCTTGGCAGGGGCTCCTCCTGACCCCCCAAGGATCACCCCGTGTCACATTTTCCCCTCAAATCCCAGACCATACCCACAGCTGCCACGCCCACCACTCTACTCCACACCCACAACTCAGCACTTTTACTTCTGTTTGTGAGCCCCTCCCCCAGCCGCTGAGACCACACAGGGACCAGGGTGACAGGGTCAGGAGAACTGTTGGCAAACATGGATCTAGGGCAGGGAGAAAGATAGAAAGACAGGAGAGAGACTCAGAGCTAGAGAGACACAATAGACATTCAAGAGAGGTGACATGAGGATGAAGAAAGTGAAGCCACTCCAAGACACACACAGCAACAGACTACATACACCCAGCCTGAGCACTCAAGCCTGAAATAAAAGCCATAGACCAGAGAGCCACAGACCCCAGGGTGACTCCTATAAGGCAGACAATAATGCGAGTAAGTATCCACCATGCTAGGGGAGAAGATCCTGGGGTCTCTAAGGCCAGTGAACAACCCTCGCTCTACAACACAGGCAGCCAATGCAACCTCAAGCACTTGCCCTGCCTACCTTGGTCATCACACTGGCTGGGGCCCCTGGCCCCTCCTCTGGGACATCGTCATAGTCAGAGTCGTCTGGTAAAAGAGAGGGGGTAGTTCAGAAGCCAGGAGCTTGACCTCCTCTAAGGGACGCTAGGACTTGGCTTCACAGAGGCCACTCCCAGGCTAGAATAAACTCCCCCCCCCAGGCTTGAGTTTTAAAGAAAGGCACAGGAGACAGGAAGTGCTATTTATACTGAAGGAAAGGAAGGGCCACCACAAGGAGGCTGACCAAGCAGCAAGCTTGGGACTTGGGGTGGGGACTGTCCAAACAAGGCACACAAGAATAAGATGAGCCAGGAGTGGTGGCCGCAAGAGTTACTCAGCCACGGAACATCACTACCTCAAGGATCAGCCATGCTCACACTTGGCAAGCAGAAACAGAGAAGAGAGAAAGAGCATGCTCTTTGCAGAGGCCTAGGACACCCAGGGGACTGCTGGCCACCAGGAGAGAGGGAATATGTCCACCACCTGCTCTCCAGAGCTGATCTCAGGAGACCACCCAGAGCCCAGTTGCCCAGTAGCACTCACCAAACTCAGGGAGCAGGCGAGGAGGCTTGGGAGGGATCACTGGAGGACAGGGAGGAGGAGACGGAGGCTGCAGGGGCCCCTGGGGAAAGGCAGGCAGGAGGGTGGATGGAATCTCTGCAGGCTCTGGTTGGGACCAGGGTGATACTGATGGCAGCAGTAACTCCTCCTTAGAGAGAAGGCTGAGAACAGAACCAAAGCTGGGTGTCAGCAGGCACCAGCCAAGGTTCTGACCCACTGAGGCCCTGCTCACTAGGCAAGCATCTTCCTGACCCTGACACCAGTCTGCCTCACACAGCCCTCGACATTCTCAGGCCAGCACCTCTGGGGCCCATATATGCTGGGTGTCCAGCCCTGGTGCTTCAGCTTCTAGCTACGTATCCATGGGACCTCCATGCTGACACAGAGAAAAGACCCGAATGGTGCAAGGGGAAGTTAAGTCTTGACATGTACTATGGAGGATACAGGGTGTTTGCTGGCAGACAGGATGGGATTGAAACAGGCACTAAGACCAAGCACTGAAGTCACAGACCAGAGCCTCAGAAACTGATTCCTGAGGCCCAGACTGCAGTGTCTGGGACAAGGTTCTCTGGTGACCTCAGTACCCAAGCTCTCTTCACCCTCCACTTTTATTCTTCTCTGATGTCAGTCTCCTGGGGCCTGTTTTAGGTACTCAGTTCTTCCCCACACCCCATAGTTTTCCTACTGTCTTATTCTGGTGACGAAAGCCTCCTGGAGGGCTTTGTCATCCAGTACACAGGTTTGAACCCCACCTTGGTATCTTCACTCCTGTGTGCCCTGAACTAAACGCCGAACCTCCCTAGGTCTGGGTCTCCTCTTCTGTAGAGTAGGATGTGCTTTCACAGGCAGAGAAAGAGTAGGTCACATACCAATACACAGGATCCTCAGCGCCCAGCAGTTAGAATGGCGGCCACGTCCTGGTGGCCTGGTTCCACTAGCTATCTCTGTCCACATCTGCCAAGGGCTAAGGAGGGGCATCAGAGTGCAGCTTCCTCCCGTTTAGTCACTTTTGGTTTGGTCTGTTCCCCAGTCTTCCCAGCAGTGAGTAGCAGCATGTGACTGCCCGAAACGCAAGGAGGTCTGGGAGGATACGACTGGGTCACCCTTGAGTCCACCCGCCCCCCTCACCCTGTTCCTTGTAGAAGCATCACTGCCACCACACCACATCTCCCTGGTGACACTTTTGTGTTTCCCTAAACCCTGCTGTTCTCCCCCGTATGTGAAAAGTATTCCAAAGAAGATTCTTCAAGGCATGTCGCTCCTGCCCAGGCTCCGTTAGCATCCAAGCTAACGGAAGATGAGCTTTACTATCTCGTGCTCCTTATAATGTGTCTGTTTCCAAATAGCTTGTGCTACAGCCACGCAGACAGGGAGGGAACCTCCCTGTGGAGTCACAACCTGTTTGAGGTGCTACAGCAGCCCAGCTACTCACACAGCACTGCCTGGGCAACAGCAGCCTGTGTGAGAACGGCGGGGGGTGGAGGGGTGGGGTGGGTATACCAGAAGAAACTCAGCAAACTCTGTAGTGACCTGCAACTGAGAACATGCACATTTGCAGAGCCACTGGAAGGCACACTGGCCCCTCGGAATAAAAGTTTCTAAGCCAGGCTGACTCCCAGTGGTCACCTGCTTCTCTGATCCTCAGTGTCTCACCTCTGAGTTGTCAAAAGGAACGGCTGCTATGGATTGTGACAACTGTGATGGCTATCATTACCCGTCTCTACCATGAGAAAAAGCAGCTCTCTATGCCCCGCCTATCTCTCTGGGAACTGATTCTAAGGGGTGGAGGCACTGAGCGTACGATGACCCTTCGTGAGCACAGCACCAGGCTGTCTCCCTGAGTTCACCTGAGTCTCTTTGCAGGAGGGAAAGCATTTGACTCTCCCCACCACCGAGTGGAGTTTGGCTGCATGGACAACAAGAGTGTGCTAGACGGGCGGGCGGTAGACAGGGGGACCGATCTGTGGACAGACTCACAACAAGCCGAACATTCTGGTTGCTAGACAAGCAAATGAACGATTCGATGGCAACCAAGCACCTGTGCGCATATCTCCCCAACAGCCTGCCTGGTCCTAGACACCCGATGTCCTTAGCCTTCCAGATGAGCACATGAATCCACCACACTGTTGCTTCCAGAGACCAGGAAGAAGGGGCTGTGGTGGCCATGCTCAGGAGTCAGCTGAGAGCAGACTGTAGCCTATGGGGAAGTGTGGATTCCTATTCTTCAGGTCAAACAAGTGGGCCTGGCTTCCTACTGTCACTCTCTTCCTCAACGTCCTAAGGGGTGGAGCGTGGCAACCGGGTGCCCACTTGTTCCTCATCCTCAGGGGTCAGGCAAGCACAAACCTTCTTTGCCATACCTACCACCACCACTGTCCTGACGGTCCACAAGCCTGCGCTGAGGCTTGCTACCTGCAGGTGCCCTCTGTCTTTATCATCTGCCCGAGGACGGAAGACAACAGAGCCTCTCCTAATCCTCGGGGTGAGAAACCTCCATGACAGGCAGACTGCCTAGCAGAGGGCATCTAGTACCGCTGAGTCAGGGCCAGGAAAGGAGAAGTGAGGTCAGAAAGGCACGGCCTGTGGGAAATCCCCAGGGAAGGGGGTAATATCCCATACCGAGAACTGAGCCCAGGGGAGCACCCCAGGAGGGGGGAGCACCCCTGGAGCAGCCCCTGGGTATCCGCCCTTTATAAACAGCCCGATCCCTGAATACTAGTGAATCATCCCTATGCTCACCCTGTTCCATCTCCTTTGATTTCTACCCACTCTCAACCCAGGGAAGCATCCCCAGCACCTCAAAAATGTACCCCCGTGGGCCACGGAAAGGCAAGGAAAGCCCCTCCCCCCACTCTGCTGTCCTTCAGGCCTTTCTCTAGCCAAGGGACATATGGATCATCTATTCTAATTATGCCATTCACAATAGGGCTGGGCTCCAGGGACAGGGGGTGACCCATCTCAGCCTGGGCCCTTAGCCCACGAAGTCTGACCTTAGAAATTAGAGACAATACCCTAGGACCTTGTACCCAGGGCTGGGAGACATATGAGGACCCCAAGTCTAAGTGGATAAGATTAGAGCGACCCCGTCACTAACGGTATGAACCAGAAACTTAAGGATCGGCCAATGACCATTATAGGGCAACAGGTGCAAACAGTGTGTCCTGGACACAGTGACATGTGGCTGCTCTGGTTTGGAGGCAGGCAGATCTGGGTTTGAGTCCCAGAGCTCAGTCAGCACCTCTGAGCCTCGGTTTCCCCTCTGACTAACCAGCAAGCTATCTCACACTGTTCTCACATGTAATAGCACGGTTTCTTACCTGGGCTGTAGCCAGAGGAGTCGCAGCCACAGAGGCTAGGCCACAAGCTGCATTACAGCCTTCTCCAAATGCCCTGGGCTCCCTCCCAGTACTTCTGTCTATATCTACCTCCAGCCTCGGAAACCAAGGCTCGCTCTGAGGGCAGGAGGACTGCAGAGAGGGGCAGCCTACATGTCAAGCTGACTGTGGACGAACTCCCCATCCCCTGTCCACTCACTTTCGAACACTATAAAAAGCTGTGCATGGTGGCGCACACCTTTAATCCCAGCACTCAGGAGGCAGAGGCAGGTAGATCTCTGTGAGTTGGAGGCCAGCCTGGTCTACAGTATGAGTTCCAGGACAGCCAGAGCTACACAGAGAAACCCTGTCTCCAAAAACAAACAAACAACAAAAAAAACCAAAAAAAAAAAAAAAAGCTAATCTGCAGCCTATAAACATTTCGTATGCTTGTACATGTTTGTATACACACATAATTGTGGAGGCCAGAGGATCCCTGGAGCTGGAGTCCCAGGTGGCTGTGAACTACCCAACATGGGTGCTGTGAACCGAACCCAGGTCCTCTACAAGAGCAGCATGAATTCTTAACTTCTGGGCCATCTCTACAGTCCCAAGCTGCAGTCTATAAACATATGCTTCAAAGCCTTTGCATAAAGCATTCCTTTCACCTCAGATACCTGTCCCTGTCTAGTTAAATTCAAACTCTTCCTTAAAGACATATATCCCACCTCCTCCTACCTCCTCCACCTCTACTGCAGGCTTTCCCTCATGCCTCAGGCTTCTTAGGGGCCTCCTTGGGGATCCCCCACCCTCCATACTACTTCTCTATCTTTAAGATTTATTTACTTATTTAAGTGTATGCGCAAATGTGTATGTAAGTGTCCCACCTGCAGTGTAGATGCCCACAGATGTCAGAAGAGGTATCAGACCCCCTGGAACTGAAGCTACAAGTGGTTGTGAGCCACTATGTAGGCTCTAGGAATTGAATCCAGGTCCTCTGGAAGAGCAACCAGTGCTCCTAACAACTGAGCCACCTCTCCAGACTACCTCTGTATTTCTAATTTCATTCTTCATCCTTCAATGTTTGGTTTGCTGTGATCACCTCAGAGGACAAAGGACCCAGATTATATTTTATCCCAGAGTCAGAACCTTCCCCCTAAAATGTTCCATGAACCTTAGAAGGCCCCAGGCCAATCCCTCTAGGCTCTCAGCAGCACAGCTGCAAGAAGAGGCCAGGCCCAGTGATGTGGGGACTGTGGCCTTTCCTGATGCTCCTTCCAATGGTAAGCTTTCCCAGCTGCCCACTTCCTCCTCAACAGCTGGGTCCTGCACTCCTCGCTTCCTCCATGTCATTTCTGTCCTTCCTCCTCCACCTCGAGCTGCTGCTGCTGCACACCCTGGCTCTGTCCCACTCACTTCTGCCCAGGCCACAGTACACAAACTTCTTGTCAGGCCTCCTTTGCAGGAACAGAGGTCGGCAGCCTGCATGTCACTTAACACAAAGGGGCTGCAGCCAGTATGCTCTGTACAGCCACCCTGCCAGCATCCTGCTTTAGAAGGCTGTAGCCCCCAATCTACCCTTCAACAGTACCACTTACAGTTCAACATACAACAAGGCCCACAGCCCTGCGCACTTCTTCCTGTGCCAGGCGCTCCACTTCCTAAACACTACCGTGGGCCAGGCTTCTTCTGGAACCTTTTACATAAAATGATCCCAAACCATTAATTCCCTTTTGCTTAAAACTCACTTCTCCCTCCAGGAAATCCACCCAAACGTGGATTTCACCCTCCTTGAGTTAACACAGCCTGCTGGGCACCCCACACCACTCCATGGCCTGAGCGCCACA